CTGGTGAGGACACAACCCAAAGACATCTGCAAACCAGGAAGAGGGCTCTGGACAGACACTGGCTCTGATGGCGCCCTGATCTGGGAATCGCCAGCCTTCAGAACTATGAGGAATACGTTTTTGTTGTATAAACCACCCAGTCTATGACATTTTTGTGACAGCAGCTCAAACTGACCGAGACAGGAAATGACTACTTCATGGGTGCAAGGTCTACTTTAGGGGTTATGAAATGTTTTGGAGCTAGCTAAAGGCGATGGTTGTATGACGCTGGGAAGGTGCTGAATTGTATACTCTAAGCTGGTTGATTTTAAATGAATTTCACTTTAACAAAAAAGAAAATAGATACACCCTCAAGAAAGTGAAAAGACAACCCATAGAATGGGAGAAAGAAAAATATTTGCAAATCTGACAAGGCACTTCTTTCCAGAATATGAGGTTGGCAATTAAGTTTGCAAACTCGTCCTAGAAAAAGTGCTCCATACCTCATTGCTGAATATCACCATGGTCACCTTTGAGGAGCTCCCCTTGGGAAGCTAGGCAGTGAGGCTGGTGCCTACTCCACCTTTCAAAGCGCTTTTTCTAGGATGAATTCGTGAACTTAATTTTCGGACCTTGTACAATGACAGCTCTGATGGCCATTTCAGAAGAAGTGTTCCAGAATTGCTCTGAAGGGTGGACTGCGTCCTGACGTTGGTGCACAGCTTCTCAAGGGCAGTACTTTGCAGGTGACCATAGCGGGCCCCAGTAATGAAGTATGTAGCTCTTCTTCTAGGACATGTTTGTGAACTTAATTGTCTGACCTCGTATATAAAGACTGGTTACAACTCAACAGTAAAAAGACAAGTAACTAAATCACAGTGTGGAGAGAGGATTTGAATAGACATTTTCCCAAAGAAGATAGATGAGCGGCCAATAAACGCACTAGATATGGGCTTCTTCTTGAGATGACAAAAATGTCCTAAAGTTAGATTGTGGCGACAGTTTCACACTTTGGAAATAAAACCATTGAACTGTACAGATTAAATGAGTGAATGTATGATAATGTGAATTAGAGCCCAGTAAAGCTGTCACAGAAAAAAATGTAAAGAAAAAAGAGACCCAAATCATAATGCCAAGTGCAATAGCTGCATAGTACTGAATAACAAGTTACCCTGAAATTTAGCAGCTTAAAATAGCAAACATTATATCACACGCTCTGGGAGTCTTGCAGCAGCTTTGCTAGGTTATTCCGGCACAGAGCTTCTGGTAAGTTTGAGGTCAGGCTGCCGGCTGATGCTGCCGTCTCTGAAGAGATGTGTGGGGCTGGATGATCTGTCAAATCCACGTGGCTCCTGGCAGGAGCTTTAGTTTTTTCCCACATGCGATGTTCGTGACCTGGCTTCCCCAGACAGGATGATGACAGGCAGCGCCCCAGATGTGAATCTCAGGCTTTTACAGCCTAGTGTTAGGAGCAGCACACCTGCACTTCTGCAGCATTCTGTTGGTCACACGGATCAATCCTAGGGCAATCCACGAGGGTCTGAACGCCAGGAGGTGGGGAGCCCTGGGCAGCTTGGACCCCAATCTTATACCACATGTTGTATCACAACAACAAATGCCCAAATGTACTGCCTATCCTATACCCAGAAACTGCTTACGGTCCCCTAATGTCAATTCTTCCCTCATTTCTACAATAAAAAGCCCTCCTCTTAATTTTTTTTTTTT